GCGCCGCCCCCGCTGCCCCCGCGCCGCCCCGCAGCCCGCGGCCATGTGCCCGAGCACCGGGAGCGCCGGTGCCGCCGGCCGGCCGGGCGGGAGGCGGCCGCGCACACCGACCGACCGCTCAGCTCGGTGCCCCCCGGCCCCGCTCACCTGCGCTCGGTGCCCCGGGACGCGCGGCTCGGGGCCCTGCGGCGGCTCCGCGAGCGCCTCGGCGCCGACTGCCCGCGGGAGCCCGCGCCGCGCCGCTAGTGAGCATGTCCGAGCGCCGGGCATGCGGGCTGCGGGCCGCTGCCTCCGCCCTCACCTGCACCGGCCCCGCCGCTCCGCCGGGACCCCGCCTCGCCCCCCGGCACGGCCCGCGCTGGTCACGTTGTCCGCCGCAGCAGCATCCTGCTGAGCAGCTTCTGCAGCGAGCTGCTGCTGTTGCCTCCAAGGGCAGACGCACCTGTCTGCTGCAGACGGACAAGATAAACCTGGAACGCTGATGGTAATTCTACCGGCCCCTCCTGGCTGTGGGAGTCATCAGAAGTGCATGTTCCTGGGAAGGACGCAGGTGGAGTTCGCTCTGGAGTGATTGCAGCGAACTCGGGTAACCATCCGCTGTGAGCAGCAGATTGGCTCATCCCACACAGGTGTGAAATACCCGAGGCAGTCTCGTCAGGATCTACAGGAAATTCTACACACTGAACCCCAACAGCCTGAACCACTCTGAGCTAAAACAGTAAAAAAGCTCTGCTCTTGGCACTCCTGCAGCAGTTTTAAAGTATCTTAAAGTTTCTCTTAAACCACCCCTCTCTGGGCATTCATGCAACACCAACACTGCTCGACATATAAAGTAGCAAGTTATCATTTCATAAAATGTTAATAAGTGTTTAAAACTTTTTAGAAAGTTGAACCGATACATTTTCTCTCTTTGATGTCTTCCCCAGGACCCCGGCACACGCTAAGGCTTAAAGGAACATTTCTCCCTGGGAACAACACTTCAGTCCTGCCAGTGTCCCCTGCTATCACTGCAAATAAGTCAGTAACACTCCTGCAAACCGAGGAACACCAGAACTGCCACTGTCTCCTCTCCCAGCAAGGCAGAGGGAGCTCTTGGTTTTTTCTGGAGTAAAATGACTCTACCTGACAATTGCGTAACCACACAGCAAATGTCTCAGCTCATTTTCAGATTGAGTTTCAGATTAGTCACTAGAAAGACAATGCTAGGAAACAGCAGCAACGTGCACAGATGTGCACTTCAGTACAAGATGAAGATCTGTTAAACAGGTTTTAAATAGCTATGGCAGAGAGAAAGAAATTCAGTTGCACTTAGGTACTTCCAAACATTTTAAATTTTACACAGTTCCTTTTCTTTGTCTCCTCTAATTAAAAATTATACAAATGCAGATAGAAAACAGAACACACAGAACAGCCATTAATTCCAAGAAAACTGAAATTATTAGAAAAGTACCATCCTCATCAACTGTTTGTGTCAAACCAGAAAAGATCAGCTCATGGATTTCTATTTGCTTACATACAAACCCTGAACACAGGTCAAGAAAGTGCCAAGTTCACAGAATAGTCAGTTCCTTGAGATACTTATAAGTCTGTTAATATGTGCCTGTATCACTGAATTTTCCATATGTGAATCTTTTTGTAACATTCAGGGCATGAACCCCGTGACAGCACAGCCAACACAAGAGGAACAAAACAACTGTTTCAAAGTTCTTTCCCTTCCTCTGCAGTCTGAAAGTGCTCCCAGAATTCTGACAGAATTCATACAGCCAGGCCAAACATCAGCTTTGGTTCACTGCAGTATTTCTACAGGAAATAAATCTTAACGATTTTCTAAACTCCCACTCATTTTACTGCTACTAATTCCATCCCAGAGAGAAAAAACCGTTCACAACACAGCTCCAGTCACTCCAATAACCAGCCAGCCTTGCAAACCCTTCCATTCTTACCCTGGAGTTGCTCAGTTCAGATCTAAGTTTGTTATTGTGTAACCAGCAGTACCAGAAGGGGACAGAGAACAAGAAAAGCCAGGCTTACAGTCCTGCGCTCTGCCTTGCGGCCGACCACGCGGATGATTTCTCCTGTAGGAACACGTTCAATCTGCAGCTCCATTTTCCCAAGGAAAGTCAGTAAATCCCTCTATTCTTTATGGACAGTTCTGGTTTCAGTGTGCAGCAGCAGCAGCCAACCTTGACTAAGTGCAGCCTTTGGTTCAGAGCCCTGTTGTGAGAGGAAAAGATGAACCTCTGTATTTATACCAAGTGTTAGGTGTGAGCTGAAACAATGAAGTTCAAGACTGGTTTCCACTCATTCCAATGTGCCACGACAGTTCCAAGAAGCCTAAATTTATGTTTGTGTTTATTGCCTCCAACTTTGTTGCTGTTCCATTTCTGTCCCACCGGGCTCAGAAAAGTCAGGTCGCTGCGGATGCTGTTCCAGAGGTGTTGGCACGGAACAATCCCATGGTGGACTTCAAAAATCTACCAAGGGATTTTGTGCAGAAAAAATCCTTCATCTTTGCCTCCAAGAGCAAGCAATAAAAAACCCTGACTGCTCCCATGGTAACTACAGGAAGTTCTGCAAACTGCTGCAGAACGGAATCATTATTAATTGAGTCCTTGAGTAGCTCACTAATCATGGCAAAGGAAATTAATTGGCACGTTACTGCATAAAAATTCCTGCAAATAGGAGAAAAATAATCTGGTGAACGCTGGTTTAAGTGCAATTACAGAACTTTACAATGATCATGCCATCCCTTAATGGAGTGGCCAGACCTCCAAAAAAAGATATCACATATCTTGCCTGTGACTGAGCAGAAAAAATATTAATCTAAACTTCAGGTATTTTAAGATTTGCTGAGGAGATAATTCTTTCTATCTTCTTGGAAAAGCCAAATTTGAATTTTTAACTCTACTACAAACCAACTGCAGTTGATGATGCTTGCCAAGAAAGCATTAACAAGATTGATTAATAAGATTAACAAACACTGACTACTCCAGAGTGGGTACAGGTGAATACAATTCTGTTCAGCAACAGCAAAGAAAGGTTCTGCATTTCATATCTGGAATTATTCTTATGCTTCCTTAGCTGTTATACACAAGATTGTTCCAGTCCAACAATTGTTTCCTTGAGCACTTACTTCCCAATACAGAGGTATACTAAAAAAATTAGATTTTATCACATTTTAAAACCCAACACTGTCATTTCCCCAAACAAACCCACCCTATTCTCAGTAATAAGGAGCAATACCCAGCCTGATTTACCTCCCCTTTCTATGGAGAGAAATCACAACGGTCAGAACACCAAAGCTGTGTTAGTGGAATGGCTCTTGTGGAGAAGATACCAGAATTATGTGCAAAGAAACCTTCTGAAAATGGGCTACAAGTGAGTGGTAAGAGAAAAAAAAAAAAAAAAAAAGGTGAAGACAGCAGAAAGAAGCTGGAGCAAAAAATGTAAAAGAAAAAAATAAAAAGGGCAGAGAGGAGCAGAGTGTGGTCTCTGATAAGCCTGAGGTGTAAAACTACAGCTACAGTGCAATTAGAATTTGTCAAATGAAGCTGAAGCATTCCCTACCAGAGCTGATGTCTGTACCTGAGAACTGCCAGTTTCAAAGCATGGTTAGCAGGTTAAAACATTTCTGTTTTTCATCCTTTTGTAGTGCCTATATTAATATTTTCTGCATTTTTCCTGCACCTCTGCATTTCCTCTTGCCAGTTTGCATCCCCAGATCTCACACTTCCCTGTTTGACTCCAGTGATTCTCCCAAGCTGTGTTCAGCTGTTCCCACACAGATTTCTCCTGCTGCTTTCCAGGCTGCCCAAAGTTCTCCTTAACTGCAGACACCCTGTAAGTGGAAGATGACAGTTCCACTGTAATAGAGGGAGGTGGAATGTACAAACACAGATCCATGATGTTCCTCAAATTGAAGCAATTAAACAAGTTCAGGGCAGTTCCTGAGCAGATAATTTTCCAGAGTAACTGTATATTAAACAGAATTTGCTTCGTGTCAATCACGTGCAAACAGCAATTCCTAAACCCAGGGGCAGAAAGGGCCGCAGGAAGTTTCCTGTTAGCAACACAGAGCTCTCAAAAAAGGTATCATTTCCTCTCTCAAGGAAAACCTAACTCCAGCTTTGTTCAACTGGCCTTTCCACTGCAGTATATTAATCCAGACAAGTTCATCTGAGTGTCACTCAGTGTCCAAGAGAAGAGAAGGAAGCAGTGGTAGTAGAAACAATGGTCTTTATCATAAAGTATTTTTAGGGTCTCACAAACACGCAAGACATCTTAGAAATATTTCCTGTTTACCCAGAGCTGTACTATCTGTGTGCAATGATACACTGCACATCCTGAGGTTAGCCAGCAATCAGAAATATAGGGGAGTTAAATGAGGCTAGACTGGATAACATTCCTTGGGATATATAGCTGCCATTTGAAAATTAATTCTTCAACAGCAGGGAGTTATGAAAAATTATCCTTAGATGAAAATAGAGTGCAAATTTATATTAAAGTATATAAAATTTAAAATATGATGCATAACTTAGCAGATCTTTCATAAAGGCAAAAGAGACACCTGAAATCACACTGTGAAAAGTTCACTGTGAAAAAGTGAAATTAGAAGAACCTCAAAAAAGTGAAATTAGAAGAACCTCAAAAATTAAGAAACAATGTCAAGTGGTCAAGTGGGGCATTTTTACAAGGAAAATGTCAAAACCTCAATCGGGAAGAGGGACAGAAACTGCAAAACCACTAGAGCATTTAATACTGGATTCATTGAAATAGGGGGAAAAAAAATTAATCCGCTTTGTCCAAAGGAAAAACAGAATTTATCCTTGCTCTTCTGTTGCAGCCCAAGCCCTACCATAGGTTGTTACTGATTTCCTTCTAAAATACTTTGTATCCGTGTATCAAACATGACCAAAACAAGTTCTTTGGAGAAAGGTTACAAATGAATCCTCCCCACCCAAACCAGTCTGTGCCTTCTCAATTAACAGAGGCCACGCACATCACTTCACTGCCAGGATTTATTTTAGAGGTTCATGAAAAGAAAAACACATGAGTATAAAAACATTTCCAGTGATTATAACATCCAATTAAAGGTGTTTTAAGAAAAGATAAATTTCATCAGAAATTGCATCATTACAGATCATGGAATAGTTTGAAAAGCTACCATAGGTAACAGTAGTAAACAAAAGTGCCTCTGTGTGCATAATACTGAAGAAAGAAGTGCAGAGTTCTGTGCAGCATCCTCCTTACACACAAGCAGCTCCAATCCCAGCTGCTGGGGGCATTTCCCGGGAAGTCCCGTGGTTCAAAGGATCAGTTTACAAAATGCAGCTTCTGTGTCCAGTGACAGAGGGTTCTCAGCTCCCACAAACACAAAGGATCTCGAGTGTCTCACCCCTGCAAAGAGGCTGCATGGCTCCCTCTGAGCTGCTCCTGCCCAGCAGATGCACCCTGCTTAGAAGAAACTGGATCTTGGTCCACAGTAAATTGCCAGCTGTGGTCTGGAATTCAAAGCCCACTGCTCTTTGGGCTCTCCACAGAATCTCCTTGCATGGAGAACGGTCAAAGAGTTACACCAGTGAAACCAGAGACAGAGCACAACTCAGGAACTGCAGAAGGGACTGCAGTTCAAAGCAGGGGTTTGTCTGATGCCCTAATTGCCAAGAGAAGTCACGTATCTGGAAGATTCAGTGCAAAACAAATTCTTGGGAGACCAGTATAAATGGGCAAACTGTTTCTAATATGGTTCCAAAGTGTAACAGGAATGTACAAACTGTAAACCTCAAGGCAGTGTTAATCCATGCAATGAACACAGTATCCTCTGAACCTGCCCTCACTGCTCACCAAGTATTCCCACCACCAAGCATCAAGCTGAGATACATCTAAAACCTACAGAGGCCAAGTGTTCCTAAAGCCCACTGCAACTACCTAACCAGAAACCTATGTCAGAGCTCCAACAGGACACAAAGACACCTGGACCTCAATAGATTTTGTACAGTGAATGATAAAAGCAAAACAAATATCCTATCAAGCTGTTAACTTTCTATCTCAAAACAACCCTGAAAAAAAATAAGGCTTTGAGAAAAAGAGCAAAAAGGAATCCACTCAGTTGTGAAGCAGAATTCCAGCATGAACATCCCAACACCCCTTGCTCTTCCACCTGAAGCAAACCTGCTCTTTTCCATCCCTGTGCCAGTGAGGAGTGACTAACTCTGCTCACCACACCTGGGAGGGAGCTGTGGGTACAGAACATGGGAAACTCAAAGTGCTCAGTCCCAGCACTGCAGCCTGAGATTCTGTGGAATGTTGGTGCCCTTTCCTACCCTTTCCAAAGATCTCTATTTCCCCATCAAGAAACAAGACCCTTTCAGAAGCTAACTACCTTTCAGGTACAGGAAATTTCCATTCCATCTCCGCCCTCAAGTGCACAGGATACAGAAAGGTCTGAGCACCTCTAGAAAAACAGAAAGTTTGCAGACTGACTGCTATAAATTGAAGACATTTACAGTTTTCAAAGTTTATGCCAAATCATCAACGATGGGCTGCTCATCTATGCTAAAGCATTTCTCAACTTCTGCAACTTCCCTCAGAAGTTGTGGGATCCTGGCTCACTCCAAACCAGGGACTGGTACAAAAATGGGTTTATTTTTTGTTTTTTAATGAGGGAGGTAAAGGCAACAGGCAAATTGCTTAATTGTTTTATAAAATAAGAATTTCAAAAATCAGGAATAGTGCATTTTGATAAATGTATTTCAATTTGGAAGAATCAAAAATTGAAAATCCTACAAAGAGTTCTTCAGTAAGGCATGACGAGAGGGATCTACCAAAGGAGACTTTACACACTTCAAAGATTTTGTTTTTCATGTGACCTGTTGTCACTGGTGTTTCCCAAAAGGTAATTAGCTTACATCTGAAAGTCAAATAAAATTTCAAAACAAGCTAACTAGCTGTATCTAATAAATAATTTTTAAATAACTTCATTTAAACTCAAAATTTGGAAATCAATTATTAAGTGGTTACAGTATAGTAAATATTGCATCGTAAATAAAATATCCTCTACAAAAAAGGAACAAGCCTAAAAACCTATTAAACATTGCAACCTCCTTAAGTTAAATCATTGCATCAGAAATGTCTATCACCTTAAAACAGACAGCATTCCTTAAGTGCTATTTTACAGTTCTCATCCAGTGCAAGAGAGTTACTCTCCCCAGAATAAAAATAACCATTTCCACAATAAATTATCTTCTACAAGCTTCCAAAGTTTCTGAACATTCCTACCTGTCTTACTCCATCTTCTAAGAGCAAAAGCTTACAATCACTAAGACATAAAGAATCATCTGACTGCTGAACCAGGACCACTAAATGCCTTTTCTATTTTCAGAACCACCACCTGATCCTGGATTGTCAGGTTTGTACAGCCAACTGCTCTCTTCCTCTGGCACATCCTTTTCTATTGGTGTTTGACTACACTGAATCTAGGAGAAAAAAAGGATAAAAACCAAATTAACAATTCAAAAGCACTGTGTTGCTCTGTATTATCCATACCATTATATAAAGATGCTGTAACAGTTACACAGAGTCTTTCAGCACATCAGCAAATCCTTTTTAGCCAGGACATATCCTTTTAAAAATTCCTTCTGCTGCTACCTTCCCAAGGATTAACACAGTTATGTTCAATACATATGAAAACAAATGAAGTAATAAAAAAAAAATCACATCAACATTAATCAATGCTTCCTAATGTATTACCTGAAAAGGTTCACTGATGCCAACTATTGACTGCAAGTTATTGCTAAAATAACAAAGCAAAAATTCTCCTCCCATCTTGGGTATTTCTGAAGCACTCATGTAAACCTGGCAAGAATAAGAACAGGCAATGAGCAATTTCCACAGCAAAAGAAGTTTATGAAAAAGCCCTTCAGGACACCATCAAAATCAGTATTTGCTATTTATAAGCACATTTTAAAACGTAAGCTAAAACGGATGGGGATGAAAATAACTCAGGAAACCATCTGAAAATTAAATCAGGGAGGAGAAGGAATATCCTTCACTATGTCAGCAGGCTGGCTTGGTTCAGTGACAAGGGAGAAGAGACCCAGAGTGGTTGGAAGGGAAGGGTCAAAGCCAGAGAGCAGCAGAGGGAGTGGAGCTGCCTCCTTGTGGCAACAGCGGAGCAATCCACAAGCTTGGTTTGCTCCTGTCCCAAGGAGCCACCGTTCCTAATTTCAACTTCTATTTGTTCAGGTAAGTATCTCTGGATATATATCATTTGCATCAAAATAAGGTGGTGTTTTTTTTTTTTTTTTTTTTGTTTAAATCGCTTTAAATAATCACTACTAGAAGGCTTTGTAGCAGACAGCAGTTTTTAAAGAGGGACCAAAACATTCAATAGGAAGAATTAGGAAGAGGGATTTTAAACAATAATATTGTTCTCAATTAGCTTCAACTGAGAAGAGGATACAGAACCCCTGAGGGGAAGGGGATATGGAACAGACATCAGATGCTACTCTATGAAAAGCTACATTAGAAAAAAATACAACTTACTTGTTTGCTGTCTCTGCTGAAAGAAATTTCATCATCTTCCACCCAAGCATAAGTAATATAATCCTTCACATGCCTGAAAGTCACCTGCATAGAAAGATACAAACTATCAGCTTCCTGATGGAAACAAAAGCCATACTACATGAAAAACAAACTTGTGAGAGATGTTTACTGTTTCACTGAAGTAATTAAAACACTCCTAGGATCAAAACATTTTGGGGACATGCACACATCTTCTGTTTCTGGGAGGGTGGGACTGCTCTGTTCTCTCACCCTTCTACTGACTTTTATCTTTGTTGCATCAGCTTCTTTCCATAGCTTCTGCAATATTTTGCCTCAATAAACAACCAGATTACCTTAGCAGAGAATTTAAAGGGTGTGGAAGAACTCACATGCTGCAGAGCTAAACTGTCAGCACACAGAAACTAACGGCAATCAAGCACACAACTATTTCACAGAGCTCTGCACTAGCAAGAATCAGTGCTCTAAAACTCTCCAGGAGCTCCTGCAGTCACATTCCTCATCTTTGCTGAAGAGCCAGGATGAGGTGACATTACCTGGAAGAGCCCAATCCAGTCCCAAGCACTGCTGGGGAGTTCAGGCGCTGCGGAGTAGCGGATGAGAACATCGTGCTCTGCACTCCAGTCACCCTCAGGATTCAGCACCACCAAGGGATCTGAGACAAGAGGCTTCATCTATACCAAAAAACAAAGTTTAAACTCAGTCAAGCCTGTCATTCCTTCAGTTATTCTTCTCTGCCACAATTGCCACCTGTGCGACTCTTTAACTGACTGGAAATAACCTGAAAGCAATTTGCTGCCTTCACTATGATCACAGTAAAACAGAGATTATGGTTTAGGAGATCAGCTGCTGTAAGGCAATACTGAGTAAAACAAACTTTTTCATAACTGGGACAGCACCTCAAGCTTGAAAGTTCCTGTAACAGGTTTGTGATCACTGATGCCATAGCTCATGTGACTGACATAGTTATTCAGAGTAACAGAAACTGGATTCTCTTCTTCAGGGAATTCGCCTTCTTTTGATGCAACCTCGCTGAGATTTTTCACTTTCCATAGAATTCTATCAGTCCATGCTGGCTTTCTTTTCTTCTCACTGCAAAAACATAAGGTAAAAAGTAAAATGAGCAGAGAAACAAGTTGCCAAAAGCTAAGAATGCTGTGCAAAATCTACTCAGAGTTCAAAGACTGTGAGCTACATATTAATAAAAGGAGGCAATCATATCCAAGCTTCATTTTACAGCTCTGATTAATGTGTTTTACAAGCAACATTTCCTTAATTTGAACTCCATTCAGCACAGATCATGGCATTCTGAAAGAGGAGTAAAATGAAGGGGAGAAGGACATTTCAGTGGGTTAGTTGGCTTCATACAGGAAATGATACTTTCTCCTAAAACCCTGTAAAAACATGCATGAATTTAGAGATAAAAAAACAACTGCCCCAGGCTCCAAACGCACATATTCTGAGAAATGAGGGTGTAAACATAAGGAATACGTAGGAAGAGTCTGAATGATGTTTGAAATTATTCAAAATATTTGAGAGCAAGTTTCTTTTAACAACACAAGACAGGACAAACTTGGGTAGCTTATGGTCATCACAGGTGCCACAGCAATGCTCTGTTTAGAAGCTCCTCTAAATTGTACCAGCCTGCATTTCAGGTTTGTAAGCTACTGCTGTCTCATAAAAACAGGCTTTCAAAATTCCATAATCAAGGAAGTTGTGCCTGCAACTGTACTATACATCAAACTGTTACCACAATGCAGAGTTTCCTTTTATACCATATCAATTACACCAGAAGACATGAGCCCTCTGTGGTTCTCTCTGTAGTGGGAGGAAGGCTTAACAGCAACTCTCTGGATGGGTGGATCACTTCAAATTGAAATGGAGAAAAGATCATACCCTATGGAAGAGGAATTAGAATGGACTGGATTGGATTATGAAAGTTAAAAGCAGGATGTGTAAGGAAAACTGTCAGTTTAAATATCAAAACCAAGGCCATTTAGTTCAATATTCAACATAATTTTGTTTTATCCCTTCCTACCTTTAATAAAGTGGAAAGATTTGAAATGACTAAGGGCCCTTATCCCACTTACTGCAGTAATTCTCTAAACCAACAGAAATCTTTACGAGATGCCAGATGTCTGCTCTGCTGTGCAGGAAATACCAAAAGAACAACTTAAGGTAAAACACTCCCTGTTTCAGAGAAAATGGAGTTTTAGATGGGAAACAAACCCTCAGAATTTACACTGAAGGAGTATCAAAAATAAAATTCTCTGGGCTTCAGTAAAAGCAACTTTTGCAGGGTGCTTGCCTTGAGGTCTTACTGGTCCTCCCCACATGAGCAAAGTCTCTGTGGTAGCTTGAACAGCAGCAGGATGCACACAGAATGTGTAACCACACTGTTCTCTAAATCAGCCAATACAGACAACCAGGCTATGAACCATTCGTAAAATGTCCAGGTCTGGATTATTTTAAGTATTTTTTTAAGACGGATTTACTGCTGGTCCCATTACATCCCGTTATATTAAACTGGAAAGCAAAATGTCTTTGGGTCCACATGAATAACTTCCAATATTCAGTGCAACAGCAGAGTAGATAACACTGCAGCTTTCAGACAGGTTAGAGGAAATCCCTAAAGAAAATCAGCTGCCATCTGATTTTCAAATATTTCACAAAAATCAAAGCAAAAGCTCAGATGGAACCTTGTTTTGATTCTGAAATATTAAAAATAACTACAAAATTCAGAAAGTTCTCTTCTTACTTAAACCAAAACAGGGACTTCTGTTCTCTGGAAGTAAAGAAAAAGGTCAGTACAAAACCCTGTTTGGACAGGAACTTATCCTTCTGTGGAAACATAAGACTAATACTTAACAAACAGACTTTAGTATCACAGAAAAACTTTGGAAATTTAAGATACCCCATCTTCAACTTAAAGTAATCAATAAAGACAAATATACATTAATTTTCAAATACCAGCATATCAAATAAAATGCTTAAACAGAGAAGGGAAGCAAAAATGACAGACAATTATTCTTTCGCTCCTTTTTGACAACCAATGAGCACTTTTAGTAGGAAAGAACAAAACAGAACCAGCTTAAACAAGTGCTCATTTATTTTGTTAATCTGGTCTTTCCAAAAAGGCAGCTGGGTTGTTTCATTACTTCCCTCATACAATCAGCAGACCCCAGCTTCTTCAGCCAAAAGTATTCATTTATTCAGATTTGATCAATCCAAGCCTAACAGAACAGCTCAACACCCCCAGTACACACCAGAAGTTCAAGTTTGCTGATTACTGAAGTGATATTTACCAAGCACCACACTCACTCTCATATTCCACATCTAAACTCATTTTATCTTTTACCTTGTGTCATAGACCTCTGAGTCAAGGTCAAACTTGTAGGTGGGCTTAAACTGCAGAGGACCCTCTTTGAATTCCCTCAGAAATGCTTCCTTCTTTTTTGCCATATTTAACTGCAGAAATAAAAAGTAACTTTTAAACATTATGTTTAAAAAAATCAGAGCTTAAAGGATGATTGGGAAAGCATCTTCCAAGAATTCAACATTGCAGTCAGAACAACATTGGAAAGGTAAATTCAGAAGGGCCTCTTTGTTATAGCCAGAACTCTTGACACAATCCATCTAAAAGTTTAGAGGCAATTCTACCCAAAACATCCAGAATAATGTTGTCTTAAAAAGAATTATTGGGAGGAGAGATAAAGGTGAGGAACAACTGACAAGACAAGAAGTTCAAAGAAATCTCCAGTCAAACAGGAGCATTGTAAATGAGTAAGAAACTGCACAAAAGCAGAAAAAGTTTGCAATTAGCTGGGGTTTATGACCACCTCATGACTGCTCTGAGTTTGTGTTCTTTAACAGAAATCAGAAGCTCAGGGTGTAATTTAACTACCACATTGTGTTTGTGTGCATTACAACCAAAACCAAACCCCCAGAGAGACTGAGCCAACCCACCTGGTCCTTTTCCCAGAGCAGACTGAAACGCTTGTTATTGATAGATTCTCTGACAAAGTGTATCCCATAATCTGCTATCCGGAAGTTTAGGTCTCCAAACCAGAAGAGAAGCCTTAAAACCAAACCAAGATGCATCAAACAAGGAAGATTTATATGAATCTATTAACTCAAGGGAAGAATTTGACAGAATGTTGGCCATTACACTAATTAGGTGCTCTAATCACTTTTATTACTTAATGCAAAGAGCTTTAACACAAACATTAAGTAGCTATAGATAAGCTTACACAGGGACAACCTGCTGCTAAACAAAAAAATATCGAAGTAATTGAAACAGTAAATTAAGTCCCTTGCATTCTTGCTGCTTGCATATTGCTGCCTGAATACTAACTTCTCCCACATCTTGCATCTCTGAACATTTAACAGCAATCTAAAGGATTTTTGGTACAAACAGGCTTTAGCTTCTAAAGCTTTCCTGCATGACATGTACAGTCTATATGCTAACAAATGAATGTAATTAGAGACAGGAAGAGAACAGTCTTGTAAAACAGATATCTGTCTTTCAGGTTATCTTTTCCTCCCAGAATTCAGGGTCAAGGCTGAAGGGACATTTAAAATAAAATGATGGATGAAAAATCCAAACCCAAAATTCTTCAGTGGAAGAGTTCACACTACAATAGATAAAAATAACACAGAACCGAATGAACAACTCACTCATGATCCAAGGGACTTGGAATATTCTCTCCTTCAAACTGCATTTCCAGAATTTTCTCAAAGTCATCCAGTCGCTGCTCTGTGTTCTCCATGTGAGCTGGCAAGTGGCAGTTCACGAAACAGATCGTGTGCCCAAAGAGGGACAGGCGGACGCTGACGCCTCCTTTGTTCCCCTGGCAAGGAAGATGAACAACTTTCCCTGAAACTGCAGTCACTGCCTGCAAATGGAACTAACACCACCTACAACCTTTTAAATCTTGCAATTAAGATTTAAATCAGTACAATTTCCTTCTACACAACTTGTTGCGTATCAGCAAATAAACTGAAATCTGAAATTACGATCTGTGCTGCCCACGAGGTTCAAACAAATGAGTCTGCTTGTCAGGTTATTAATTTTTAATTAAAGCACATCTTCTCTGTCCCAGCAGGGAGCCATGGAGAGGCAGAGAGCACCAGCAGTGACCAGAGGCAGTCCTTACCCAGTAGCCATAGAGGCCTGTGCGGGTGTAGTTGGTGTGGATGTGCCGGATGAAGGGAAGGTGCACGTGCTTCACAAAGATCAGAAGCAGCAACCCCTGCATGCGAACTGAGGAGAGCTGGGGAGGTAGAAAAGAAGAAAAGGTCATTTCCAGGAGTTCCTTATGTTTACTTCACAGGAGCTTTTAGGGAAGAAGGCCACAGCAGAAGTCATGCAATTCCCTTGCCAAGCCTGGCCTCAATACTGTGACAGTAAATGCAGATTCATTTCAGTGCTGTGAAAAACATATCCTTTATAAACAAATCTGATCAATTCCTCAGCTAATTAACACAGTTCCAACATTATATTTCAATCTGAAGTCACCCTCAAAATATGCACCTGCCCAAACCTCTTTAAAGACTTTTCTTCTGCCTCACCAGCCTCTTGTTTCTTTCTGTCTTTAAGAATCCTGTTCATGAACGACCAAATCCTTCACTTTTCACTAAAAGCTTTATAACTCACACCTACAAGTCCTCCAACAGCAGCAGCTCTTTCAAACTGAAGAATCCTTGAGCAGTTCATTAAATATTCTAAATGCCTTCAAAAGCACAGCAGTCAGCTCCAGGCATCTGCAAAAACAATGAGCTGCAAACAGCAGAAACTCCTGCCTTGCAGTGCCTGTAAAAACTGATTTTCCAAACACTTAGAGGGCATATAAGACACGGGGGTTTTGTGGTTTGGGGGTTTTTTGGTTTGTGTGTGTGGAAACAGTCTAATAAAGATGTCCTTCATTGAACATTTATGGACTTTACAATGATCCTGGCATGAGACACAAAATTCATTGTGTTTTAATGATTATGATTCAATTTAAAATACAGGCATTGAAATACATTAACTGTAGTTCAATTTTATGCTGGATTAATTTAGAAAAAGACTACATTAGAATAAAACTGACTATACAACCGCTGGAGAAGCACAAAAAATTCAGCCCAAAATTTAAAACAGAATTCCTCCTTTGTCTCCCTATCTACAAAATTAAATGATTTCAGAATATATTTTAATGTTTTCATTGTCCTTGAACCCAAGAAAATACCACACAGAATACTGAAACAATGGACTGCAATTACTGCAACGGTGCATAAATATTTTAGTAGTCAGCGTTCTCCTTTCCATAATTACATTCAAGAGGTACCAAGATCTTGCAGTCCTTTTATTATTTATTTGCTTTATTTCACTCTGCTGTGGCCAGTCCCCAGAGGTTTCTCAAGATCTACAGGATCTGAGCACAAGCAGGCACTGACCCCTCCCCTGCTGGAACCAGCACCAGTCCCACCAGCCCTTAGAGCCAAATCAAGCAAAGCCCTTGCACAGAGGGAACACGATCCTGTGGATGGTGGAAGAATGGACTGTGACAAATTGAACATCCTGAAAACAGACCCTGCTACTGAGGGGACAGAATGTCCCAAGGATGACACCTCTCCCTCCACACCCAACCTCGTCACAGGTCAGCCAAGGGGTAAGTGCTCCTCTCCCACTCAGCCAAATTCCTGGCTCGGTCCTGGGATAACCTTTCCTTGCTGCCTGGTTTGATTTTGACCCGGCCTGACAGCTCCCCCTTACTAGAGCTAATCAAGTCCTGCTGAAAGCCATTAGGTGGCAGCATCCATTCATTAGTGTGCTCCAAACTGCCTCTGTTATAAATTAGAATTCAAAATCAGCCAGGCATACCAGCAGGAATTCTTTTAACTGTGTGTATACAGGGCCTGAATGTCAACCCACGGCCAGATTTTGAATTTTTATCAGCAATGACTTAGGCCAGAGTGAACAATGTGGGTTTTTATCTTTTTGTAATTTCCAATGGGTCCTTTGTTTTGTTTAATTACAATTAAAAGAACAGCACAACTACTGAGTCCGATTAGCATGCAGATAATGCAATCACCTCAGCAAAATCAGCCAGAAATAGTGCTTGGTTTAGAAAATCACTACAAAAGGCTTTAAATTTCTCTTTATAGAGAAATTCAGGATATCTTCCTACATTTATTGTTGACATTATTAAAATAGCCAGTACTTTAGCTGATCTTATGTCCCTGATATTACCGCAAAATCTTATCATTTAAATTCCAATATGTTATAGATCTTCAACCAAAAATCAACTCCTCACGTAAATATATACACCCACTAAAATCCTCTTTTACACATATGCAATTTATTTTCACCTGCAAACAAACTGGAAAAAGGAAAAAAAAAAGATAAAGGAGCCTTACCAATCTTAACGAAAATCACTGCCATTGCTTGGGATATTTATAGTGCAAGACTACATTAGAAGCATCACAATACAGTTCCCCAATATTGCACAGAGCAAAAAACTTTTCTACAAACAAGAGAGAGATAAAGATATTGTGGCCACAAGAAACATGCTGTTCAGTATGAGTTCACATGACATGAAAAACAGGAAAACACAGGTGTGATGAAGAATCACTTCTAACATATGTATACCTATGGAAGTGACAGACACCTGCAAAAACACCATCAACTTCTCTTTTATGGATAATCTGAGGAAAAAAAATTAAGACTTTTACTTCAGTGCTGTGACACGTAAGAGTGGTGTAAATTATTACCTTGATATATCCCAAGGGAGACAGGACAGTCATGAAAAAAATGCTCCATGGATCATCAAACGCCAGGTCAGACAGAAAATTGGTGATTTTTGAATTCACCTCCTGTAAGCTGAATACATCACAATTACTCACATTGCACCAGTTGGTTTGGACAGAATTCATAGGAACTTTGCAGAACACAGACCCCAGAAATTTCTTGCTGTTCAGTTTCTCATTCAAGCAGTTTAACCCACGCACAGATCTAACACACCTGACACTGAGTAAAACAAAATTAAAGGAGGTTATATACACCTGAAGATAGAGTTTAAGACAATGCCAGACTCAAGATGTGTTGTAAAATCCTGATTGTCAGGACTTCAGAATTTCAACATAGTGGCAGATTGTGCCTAACAAGCCTGCACTAATTCCCTTAAAACATGCTGAATTTCCAATAACTTTCATATCAAAATGAACATGCTATCAAAAATAAAAACAGCAGCCCAAACTTTTTGTGTTTAGAAAAGATATTCTGCATTCTGTCACCCACAGCAGCAGCCAACTGCTATAAATCATCTCTGTTCTAAGTTAGTCCCCTGTTAGACTAAGTTAGTCTTCACCCTCTGGTAGCAGTAGTGTTAAACCATCTCCCAGGCAGTGATTCACATCACACAGTCCTCTCATGCACACCATGCTGAGACCCAGCAGTTTTGCAATAAACTCATAAAGCAAGTTCTTTAGTATCACTCACCCTATCACATACATGTCCGTGGTGGGGCCCAGCGAGTTGAGCTGAAGTAAACTTGTGACATCAGGAGGGGGAGAAGCTGTGCCCACATTCCAGGTAACTAAATGCAATCTAAAAACAAACAGAAACCACACAAAACCAATGCTAAAATTGAAATGTGGACAGGCAACCAGCTCTAAGAACGTTCTAATTTCTAAGTGAATTTCTGTCACTTTTCATCAACCAGAAATCTAATTGACAGCCCCGACGCCAACACGAAAACAACCAACAGGAGGGAGCAAAACCTGAATTCTTGCCACTTATCCTTCAGCTTTTTCCCCCAGATGAGGAAAGCTTCATCCAGAGTGCGAGACACTTCTTCGTGGATCTCATCGTCCGAGCTGATGTCCTCCACGCAGGCCATCAGCTGGGCCACCCTGTGCCGGAGCTGCAGGCGGCCGCTGGAGCCGGTGCTGCTGAGGCTGGCGGAGCGGCTGCGCAGGCTGGGCGCGCTCTCCAGATCGGCCAGGGAGAGCCCCTGGCAATGCTGAAATGCATCCTCGCTGCTCAGCGACGCCATCTGCTCCAAGTTAAAGCTATGCCCTGAAGGACCGGCCCATTAAAATCAAGAGATTGATAAGGGTTTTCCAGATCTTGTGGAATTCAGCATTGCTTCCAAGGCAAAAGGACAAATGTAGGTGCAGCAATGCTGGGAAAAAAAAAACAACCTGCGGTGTTCCCACCACACTGGCTGGGTTGTTACAAAAGCTGCAATCACGTCCTACCACACACGGTGAATTGTTTTTTTCATAATAGATTTAATGTGGTTAATTCTACGAGCTCAGGGTTTAAAAGAATTTATTGTTGATTTGATCATGTGCCCGTCTGCAGGCAAGGAGAAATGTAATCTCCAGCTCCCAAACATTCAAAGTTCTCAGCAGAACCAGGCAAAGCCACTGACTCTCAACATCCACATCACAGCATTGTTGTTTCTTTACAAAATGGTTATTTCAGTACCAGAGCTTCTAAAAACAGATTCACTTTATTGTCAGTCTTGTTACACGACAGACAGGCTTAAAAAATAATAAATTGTTAAATTTCCATCATCTTAGAGTTCTAGAATGACCTTGTGAACACTGGTAATTAGTGAATCCCATCAATACACCCATTATTAAGGCTGTGTTTTTATCCCATAATCAACAGAAATGTATACAGAGAAGCTGGAAAACAACCTTGCACAATAGATTAAAATGATACATAATTTCCCTCACTAATAGTGTATCTTTGTAAGACTAAGCTGAAGTCACACAAAAGCTACTCCAAAACAAACTTCTAGGGGGGAAAAAATGTAGGTAGGCTGCAGATCTAATTTTGCCACCAGAGATGCATCACTTGGGAATCCTCTCCAGTTATTTATTTTGTAAGACAATTACCTGATTAAACAAAACTGAAATAATGTTGAAGCCATCAGACATTACAGACAAAAATTCAATTCCTCAAGGTGCCCAGTGACCACAGCACTGACAAAAACACAGATCTCAGAGGTAGAAACAAACACTGTCCTAAATACAAGCAACCTACTAAAGTCATTATTATCATCACCGCTGCTAATCCTCAAATGACTCAATAGCGGAGAATTTCTCAGGGTCACAGTGCCCATAATAAAGCCTTCAAAGGATTTTTAAGATATTTGAGCTCTTGTCAGCTTGTTAGTTTGGCTGTTTAAGTATTCCTGTCACAGGCTGTTACCCAAATCCCACCTAAGCAGGTTTCTGTAGGGAACCGAGCCAGACAGGACACCGACAGAGAGTGAAGACACATTGTAAAAACACCGTAAAAGCAGAAGCTCGGTGTTTGCTCAAGCTTCTTCTTCCCCACGGAAAGTGACAAGTTCGAGACACCCGGTCCATTACAGACGTGCAGATGCTCGTGCCCTCATAACACATTAACAGAGCTCCGGGAAATCCCAAAAATGCCCCATAAGCCTCCCTGAGCCACTCCAGCACCGACCTTCCAAACCAGAAAATCAGCTTTTCTCCTCTATTTCATATGACTGCGCAACGCCGCCAATTTGTGTAATTCTGCGCTAATAAGCACGCACACACAAGTTTCGCTAATTCTCGCCCATTTACGTAACCGCTCGGGGCCACTTTTCGGAGCCGCCCTCAGCCCCGCGCCTCGCGCCCACCACTCACCTCAACTCCTTGGTGGGAAGGCCCGCGGTCTCCATGCCCGGGGCTCTCGCAGCGAAGCGCTGCCCGAGGGACGGGGAAGGGGCCGGCGGAGCCCCCGGCGCTCCCCTCACGCAGCCCGGCCCGGCCGCGGCCTCCGCGCCGCCCTCAGCGCTCCGCGCCCATCGGCGCGCGTGACGGGGGCGGGCACGCGCCGCGCCGCGGCGCCTCCTGGCGGCCGGGAGGACCCACAGCAGCACCGAGACCTCCCCCCGCAAAATCCCCAAAACCCCAAAACAAAGGAGGCGGAGGCGAGAGGCTATGTCTAGTATTTTATTAGATTTCGTTTCCAATATGCCTGTATTGGAAGATTTAGGAGACAAAAAAGGCACAAACTCACATTTAAAGAAACGACGAGATAATCTAACCCATTCTACAAAGTGTGTGTGTCGCCAAAGGAAAGAGCACGGAGAACCCGTCGGGACGTGGCGGGGAACCCAGAGGGATATGAGGGGCGAGCAGCCCTGTCAGCAAACCAGCCTGAGCCAGGCTGGGGCGAGGGAACCCCCAAAACCCATCCGGCGTGGATGGGAGTGGCGATCCCAGCGCAGCCAGCCCCTCCGGATGGAGCCGATCCCATCGGGAGCCGGCACGTCCCGGGGTTCTCGCCCAAGCTGATGGAAGATACGGCACGGGAACGCTGCGTGATCTTTGCTATGCTCACTAGCAGGAACCAAGCGTCGAGACTGAAGGGTCTTTACAGGATTTGTCTATCCAAAGGCTGAGGGATGCTTTCACTTAGGATCAAATCGGAAGGACAGAAAACAAAGGGCAGGGAGGAGAGGGGGAGTATTCAGGCTGAAGGTCCTGTAGTTTCACCCCCGCTCCCTCCAAGTTTTTCCACTAATCAGGAAAGCTTTGTGTAAAAGCTCTTACTCTGAAATCAGAGGATCAAAAAAGGATTGCAATGGTGGAATGTTACAATCTGCTTCCACGGCGATTAGTGTCATCAGATGGAAAAAGCCTCTTGGATAACACAGACTGAAAGAACAAGTGTGCTATGTGTATTCTCAGGTTGCCCTCAAGTGTAAGGATCCCTCAAAACGTTACCAACAAACATGAACTGAAGTCAGTGCATAAATTCTCTGTTAAAAATACTTCAAACTGAAAGAACTCTAACTGGGGCCTACACTCCTAGAATACTCCTGGAACAGCTATACAACATGTCATGAAACATCCTGGTCCCAAATAGCCTCAAAGATTAAAATTTAGTTTCTTTAGCTATTTTACAATAAACTTGTTTTACTTCTGCCTGGTGAGATTGCTAAAACCCCTCAAACCCCACCCCAACCCCGCAGAACCGTCTGAGGTCACTGAGAAGAGCCTGCCAGAGTTACTGGTACAATTCAGAGCTTATTGCACTTAGACATGAGTAAGGCAAAATAACAAACTAAAAACAAAGGGATAAACTGCCCCCTCCCCAGAAACCAATGCCATCCTCTCCCTGCAGAGCATTCCCACCTTCCCTCACACTGAAAACAGCTCTGATCCCAGCACAGCCTTGTTCAGCAGGGCATGGGATCATTTCAGGATCTCCTGCTTGCAGGAGTGGGAAGGGCTGGAGGAGTCAGAGTATTACAGAATGCTAAAAAGACTCCTCAAAAGTGGTGATACACCCACGACTGTTTGGCGTTCAGGGTTTCATGTTAGTGCTGCCAAACACAGAAGTGGAAAATAAAGTTATTACTACTAGGGGAGGGAAAAAAATCAAACACTGGGCCTCAGGGGTAAGTAAAGAAGTAGGAATTTTTTTCCTCATATGTATTGAAGAAAGCAGCATTTCCTTGATTCTGTTCTGCTGAGTTGATTGTCTAAAGCTGATATCAACATAAGGATAGTTACAGTAAATATTTGAGTTCATTAAATAACGAGAGCTCTTTACATTAACAGTATCCTCTATGATTTATAATAACCAACAGATATCCTAGCAAACTGCAGGTCTTTATAAGTAGCTTTTCTTACAGCACAAAAGGAGATATTTTAGTCAGTCTTGCAATGGGAAGAATATTATTGCTGAGCAGAACCACCGCCCCAGGCACCTGGATGTAACCAGATGCCAACACCTCTCTTGCACACCAGCCTTTGCAACATCCCAATTTGTCCAGGGAGAATCACACTGTTATTATTAGTCAAAAGCATTCCAGCTTTATAAGTTATGGGAAGTCTTAATGAACAAAGAACCAGGAAGTTGCAACATGTGTCAAGAAAGATTCTGTAAGACTGACACTCACAGCTGGAGGACAACAGAGCTACATGGGCCAGGGAGACCCCTAAAATGGAAAATCAACAGGTAAGTGCTGAATGCCCCAGTACAGGGCCTGACTGCAGCTTCTGGACAGTCTTTAATTCATGTTTGTTAAGACAGAACAAAGTTATGCCCTGCAGAAGCCACAAATCCCAACTCATCACAACCAAAAACTCTCTGGCTGCTCCTCATGTTGTACTCAGGTTACCTGCCATTAAATATCTCCCTCTGGGAGCAAGGGTGAGAGCAGAACATTTCGTGGAAGTGTTTTGCACTTTTAAATATGGACTATTTCCCTCTCCAATCAGACATTCAAAGAACGGTGAAGGGCTGGGCAGAAACAAAGGTGGCAGTTTATCCCACTTGGAAAAAAAAAAAAAAACAAAACCAAAACAAAAAAATTCTAAGTCACCACATCACAAGACTATTTGAGCTAAAAATGTCACTTGGAAATCAAACAGGGCCACATGGAAATTGGTCTGAACACAATGAAAAAAAGAGGAGGGAGGAGTTGTAAATACAGCGATCTCTAAGTCACACGGCCCCGAGGAGGAGGAAACTCCTTGGGATGCACGTGCTAACATTGGAGTGCTTAGTACCAGACTGTCTATTTGCTCACAATATTAAGGGGCATCTAGAATTAGCTATGGGAGGTTTAAAATCGCCTGCCAGTTGGACAGAGAAAGGCTTGATCCAGAGATGGTCCGTCAGTCAAGGGTGTGGATTCCCTGGGCCTTCCTGATGACTGTCTTGCAAACTGAAACAAAGAGACAACAGGGAAATGTTTCAGGATGGCTTTGGGAGAGCAGTGTGCCAAGGGAGGTGTCAGACAACCTTGAGAGAGCAAATGTGAGTCACTCTGTCACCAGGCAGACAAAGCACGGTAACACTGCAGCACTGATGCACAGGAAACGGGACAGAAGAAAATCAAGTGGTTGATTTTCAAGTGGCATTCAAAAACTGAAGTATTTCTATCAAAAGATGCTCCCCACTTACCACCAAACAACCAGCAGATAACAGAGGGCAAACAGAAGTAAATAGTGAGTACTCCAGGAGGATGTGGTTCTGCCCCACCCCATTCCTTCCAAGGATAACTAGGATGGCATTTTACTGCCCTAATAACCTGTTTTTCCCACCATAAATGGACAATCCCTTTTTTCTCCTTGCTTTCTTACCTCTCTAATACTGTACAACATTTTTGCAGTGTCTAAGAAAAATCTGGCAAAACCAGCCCCCAAACTGATGACATATTTAACAGAATAGAAAGAAAACAAGTCAAAAACTTTAAAATTGTTTCTTCTTCATTGCTGCTTCTCCTGCAATGCCCAAGGGTTACTCCAAGCCTTGGCCTGGCCCATTAGTAAATACTACTAACAAATGATGGAAAAAATAAATTCCTCACAAAATGCTTGGAATGCTCAATTTCCAACTGTATTCTAAGTATTTGCATGTCTAACTTACTTTTTTTTGAGACTGACAAAGGTTTCTCTGCAAGTCATGGAAAGTAACATATGCATTACAGAAATAATAGCAGTAAACTACAGAATATTCTAACACATTTTTCTTACACTTTTCACTCAGACTTTTCTTTAGAATAGTTCTGAAATGAGGCAGTAAACCTCGCTCATCAACCTGTCAGTGAAACGGGTTCACTATAAAACAATCAATAGCACAGATCTGCCTGTCAGAAGCTATGAAGGGGATCATTTCTCACACAAATGTTGGGGGTTTTAAACTAAATGAGGCAATACAGATTTTTGTCAAATCTCCCGATACCTACAGTGCACAAGGAAGGAGTCATACTAGTCATCTGCAGCCGACATTCCTTTCACTGGATCTTTTTCTCTCATCTGAAAGAGGAAAGAAGTGTTCAAGTACTGATTCTCACATGTGTTATCTCAAAATTTATCACTATGGAACACCTCCTGTGTGTAAGACATTGATTGTATCTCAGCACCTCAAATCAGTGATTGTGAAATGCACATGCAGCATCATTTCTGGTTAAGCTGTGGGTTGGCAACAGATTTGGAACCATTATCCAAAGGGCAAGAGTGTACATGAAACCATAATGAAATATCCTGAGGCATGAAGGGAGAGAAGGGTGCAGGGCAGGACACAAACCACAGAACAAGGTTCTCATTATTACCAAACTTGTGTTTCTCAGAGTAAGAATGTTACATATCCCCACTACCTGCTTATGGTACTTAAGAGCTAAAAACCCCTTTTACTCAACAGGTTTCTGGCAACTAATGAGGACAAAATCGACCATTCAGCTTTGAGTAAAAGCAAACAGAAGATATTGAGGCAGTAAATGAATCATTGCCACTCAACCCCTCATTACCTGTGGTTCAATACATTTACTGACTCAACAACAAACAGAAGGAGAATTCCATAATGATTAGGAGGAGATGCCAGCAGGATGGACTCATGGCCAATCATTCCAAGCACACACAGCATGACCTAAATAGCAGGAGCACAATTCACACCGTGCCCTGACAATGCAGCAGCCTTTCCTCTCTGCTGTGCTGGAGAGAAGCAGTTTCTCACACATCCCACACCTGCCCTGCTTTGCCACTGACCTCATCCAGCTGTCTCTTGGTCTCCTCCTCCATCCTACGGATGTCCTCCATAGTCAGATCAACCCACTTATCAAGCCAGCAAAAGAGCTGCCGGTGGAAGTTTGTGAAGAGCCTCTTTTCTTGCTGCAAAAGGAGGAATAAAACACAAACCAGCTTAGTCACAGGGCAATTACCATGGAGCTCACAGCATTGTAACAATTTTCAGAGATGTGTGGAATCAGCTCCCTCGCCCACCTTTCCATCTAGCTGCCACAATTGGAAACTGGAGATAGCTAATT